CTTCGGACTCCGCAAAAAAATGGACGAATCAAGTGAAAAAGAAGAAACTTTCCTCTGACGATGAAGTACATCTCGCAGAGTTTGTAAATGAGAATCTGACGATAGAGAGAGACACGATCCACTCTCCCTGCGCAAGAATATTCTTGCCTGGAGTTTTAGTGAGTTCTCCATTGACTCTACTCTGTATTTCAGTAAATCAGGGGTAACGCCAAGGATTCGTTTTGCGCGCAGACAGTCGGAAATGTGAAAAATAGCATCATTTGTGTTCGATTGCAAAACGAGGTCATCCGAGAATCGCGTATGGATCCTGGTCATGTAATGACAACGTCAGTAAAAATCCCTTCCGCATCGCGCACAGCTTGGACACGGTGAACTAGAAGCCTTTGCGATTGATAACAGTTGAGTGGGAATTCTAATCGGATGCGACAGTCGTCATTCCTGGAATTCCTGGAAATCCGGGAATATCAAATAATTTTTTTTCGAACTACTCCGTTTTTCCTCCTGGAAATCTAATGAGGGACGCTAATCAGCAACGGCCTGCGCCATTCCATTTCCAGGAATCGATGCCACATAAAATCGAAAGGCTCTCATGACACTCTCTTTACTTTCGAGTCATTCTAATTAATTACTCATTACTTACAATTAAATCACGATTCATTGCACACGAACCGTGATTGTTCTTATCTGTTAAGGGATCCCTCCCGCCAGTCTCGTTCCTTGCGAGTTCAGTGCGAAGCAGGTCGACGTCATTCACCGATCCCTTTCCAAATTGGGATCTCACGCGAAGGTTCTCATCGACATATTCTTCAAAGGGACTCAAAGCCGATGTTTATCTGTCCCATGCGACGACGAACGCACATCGCTGATATCGACCGCTCCTTAATCCATTCGGCTACATCAGTCCACTGCAGTGCTATAACTGATCGAGAAAGGGCACGAGCGTGAACATCGGCAAAAACAATCCCTTGTCTGGAATCTTTTTTTTTTCCAGCTTTTGTTAGCCGATGGTTAGACGATGGTTACAGGAAGATAGCGTCCGTGCAATCCATTTCTGGTCTTAGACATCGGTTAGCCGATGACTTTCGCAAAACACCAGGGAAACATGGCTCACGAAATCCGCCCTAAGATTTTTCAATCGTCGTTCCAGGTTGAAGCACGGAACCATCCGGTTTGCAAAGCAAATGTTTATTTTATTTTTTTTTTCTTCTTAAAGTAAATTTTCGTGCAGGCGGAGTTCCGCCCAAATGCATGGAATATAGCTTTTCCTGGAATATAATTAGCATGAATATAATTTTTCCTGCGCACAGTGTGACAAAATGGCATTTTCCTGGCCAAAATACAAAAAAAAATATTTTTTTGCATAATTATGATGCTTTACCAAATCACCAAAATGACAGAACTCCAGAAAACTGCAATTACTTGGAAGAAAGCTGAAAAACTCCACGGAAATCCTGACCATCAATTACAGTTACATGTTTCTCGTAAATTTTTTTTTAATAACTTAATCTTGAGATGCGCTAGTGTTTTAGTGATTTGGCACTTAATTTGGCACTAATTTGGCGTTGAAACGCTCTTCGAACTTTCGACGATCGATTCGGTTTTTCGTTGGGCTCGTCCGCCGTCGCAATGCGGCAAAGTCCTTTAATGCTTTGAAGGCCTACGAAGGGAGGAAATGCGAAGCATCGATCGTTCGCACGACTGAAACGGATCACTCTGGACTTGGTAAACACAAGCGAAGGAAAACGGTGGATACAGAACCTGCTCCACTGGAGTCTCGCCAGGAACTGAATGGAGAAGCGCAGCCGCGAAAGAGGGCCCCCCCCCCCCCCAGAAGGCTGCCAGCTCGGTATGGCGCCGTCCGGTCGCTCGTCCCCGTGCAGGCTTCCTCCCCACGCTCGCTCCTCTCGGCACCGAGGCTGCACGTGCGACGAGACGCGGCTCTGTGGGGGATCGTTTCAGTTCTTTCTCGCGAGCGGACAGATGAGGTCTGAACTCGAGTTCAGTGCTCTCGTATAGGCTTTCGTCCCGGTTGAACCGTGTTTCGTAATTTTATATCGAGCTATCGTCGAGTTGTGATGGAGCAGTTCCCAAGATCAGGAAAGATTGTCGTGCCATCGACTCGACTCATCGCTGTACCTCTTCCCCAGCGATGACGATTGGAGTTGACAATCTTGTTTGATGTCATCAAATTTCATCGTTTGATGTCATCGTTGACGACAACGCCAGGGAAGTGGGTGAGGGTTAGTCGGTGAGCGTAAGACAATCCGAATGGGCTGTCGGCCTGTCATAGGCCTAACGATGAGCTCGGCTTGCAGGTGGTGTAGATTTGCCATTGTGGGCAGCATTTAGAATACAGTTCCATTCTTGACCAAGTTTGGGTCGTGTCTGGTAGTATGATCTGCCACTTGCCTATTGCCGTCATGTTCTTTGATTTGCTGAGAAGTGGAAATGTTCCAGTGTGTAGCTTGTGGGTGAGACTAGGCAACGAAGATTTGCTGACTTACACTGAAGCATATTGGTATGTGTTGCTTCTTGATTTCTTCAGGTAGTTCAGTGTGTTGCCCTGCCACAATGAGTAACAAATACAACCTGAAGTGGAACTCCCACCACACCGAGGCGTTCGGGAACTTCGACCTGTTGCGCAATCGGGAACTGCTGGTGGACGTCACGCTCTCCTGCGGCGGACAGACGTCGAAGGCTCACAAGTTGGTCCTCTGCACGGGAAGTGCTTTCTTCGAAAGGCTCTTGCAGCGTGAAACCGGCAGCTCGTCGATAGTTCATTTCCACGGCATCGACATGATGCACCTCAGACTTCTGGTGGATTTCATGTATCTGGGGGAAGTGGATGTGCCCTCGAACGAACTGGAAGAATTCATCGCTTTGGCCGACAGTTTGGAGGTGAAGGGCCTCAAAGGAGACAGATCCAAGAAATACGATTCGGGTGGCTCCGTCGGGAGCGTTCCTGCCTCCGGGAGGCCCGAGACGTCTCCGTCGTACGGGAAGCTGCCCGGTTTGACCTCGTTTCCAGGTGTCAGGCCCCTGGGTGCTGGTGCTTCAGTGAAACCTTGCCCATCTGCTTCTAGTCACACTGCTCCAGTGAAACGCAGGCTACCGGTTGGTGTGGACAGTGGAGTAGGGTCGGTGCAAGGGACAAAGCCATCGCTGTCAGTGGCACCTGGACCCGAGAAGAGGCCTCGATCAGAATTAGTCACTCCTGATGTTACCAATCAGGTAGGTTGCATGGAATAACTGGGTGGGCCCTTTTTTTTGTTTTGTTCACTAAGGTTTTTTCTTATTGGGCTGATAAAGATGGTTTTCAGTAAAGCTGACTTAAGTCAGTACTTTACTTTCAGTAAAGCTGAAGAGACCTGCTATATGTTATCTGGCATATTGAGATGCAGTCCTTCATGGTGCCCCATGAAGGGGAATTAGAGACTTGATGCTTTTTAATGAGTCACTGCTTTACATTTGCTGCTACAATTATTTTTGTTCAAAACTTCTTTTATTAAAAGACAAGAATGCAATTGTTCAATATCTTGGAATAATTAATATAAAACAAGAAATAGGAAACTTCTGGAAAATGTGCTAAAAGTGTAATCTTAAGGCCTAAAACTCAAGAGCTGCATTGCCACTAAATTTTTGTAACTCTGATGGGCATCATTGTTTTCCACCTTCCAAATTGTACTCCAGTCGCATGTGTAGTTTTAATGACCTATGAAATTTACTCGTGTAAAGTAGTTAGGGATAAGAGATAGGAGTGAGTAAGAAACCAGACTGAGAGGGAATAAAAGCTAATCGATTTTGTGAGATATGCATATATATTCCCCCCCCCCCTTTTTTATTTCTAAATATAAGATTATATAGCATGTCCTGAATCTGACCATAATTTCCTCCATTTCCTACAGTTGATTATTACTCATCATCCAACCATGTACACAAGGGCATGTTCAGTATAATCATATGCAACATATTCCTTCTGCCAGTCCACGCAAGTCTATAAGGTAGCAGGTGTAATTAATATGTTGTGAAGCAGGACTCTCCACCAAGTAGTCATTTTATTTCATTACATCCCTTTGACATGTTTTCTTTTGCTTAGCACTTAAGGTATACCAATTTACTAATAAGTCTTTTGTGCATTTTTTTTTATTTCTTGAGTTCTTATTCCTGCTCCTTCTCCACTTCCCAATACCACTTCTACCTGCCCCCCCCCCCATTTCTCCAAATTCCCCTCACAAATATTCTTTAGGCAATAGAATATGCAGTTATGAGGCCATGAATGCTTTTATAAAAAGACAGTATGACCTGATGTTCTCATTAGTGGTGGATTGAACTTAAATACATTTACTTTCAGTGAGGTTTCAGTGATACTCAGCAGTCATTTTCATGACTTTCCTTCCAAATTAATGGTTACTGCACTTATTTTTTTTTACTCTCCTAAGTTCTATATTGAGTTCATAAAAAAAAAAATTTTTTATGTAAAATTTTTCAGTTGTGAAATTTTAGGTGTGATAAGGTACTCATTACTTTCATCAGAAGTGTGACACTTTCACTTTATGGAGTGCACATTATAAGGATTATTACTAGGTCAAAATTCAAGATAGTGATATCAAGAGGCAATTTCACCCATTTCGATATCATGTGTCAAGGTTGAGTGTTCCTTAATTTTAGGGTAGGCCTAACCCTCTTAAAGCTAAATATATATATATATATATATTGTTGACTATCCTAGTTGCTTACTGTCTAGTACCTAGTGTCAACATTGCCTTTTCACCTATACAACCTTTTTGCCTGTCCATGAAAGCATCTAGTCTCTTCTTACAGATAGTCACAGAAGGGGCAGCCACTACTTCTTCATCTAATCAGTCATCAAATTAACTTTCCATGCAGTTTCTCTTAGTCCAGTTGCAAAATACAACTTTTCTCTTAGGCCAGTTGCAAAATACAACTTTGAAAGTTGCACTTTGAAAAAGTAGGGAAACAAAAACTCCATTTTAGCTGATGAAGGAGTGCATTATTTGCTGTTTGTAGTAGCCTGGCAACAAAGTACATTTGGTCTAAAATCATTAATGGATTTTCACCCTTCTGAACGCATCTAATGATGTTATTTTCATCACGTTAGGCATTGAACAGTGACGACTCCCAGCCACCAGCCTGTGTGAAGTCAGAGGAGGACGACATCGAGGAGATAGAAGCAGTTCGTGTTAGTGCCCTCCCATTTCTAAATTTTTATTGCATTGTGAAATGGCATTCTGGAAGGAATCGATGATCCCATAGGAGGATGACCAATCTTACTGGACGGCGGAAGAAGGGATGTCGACGACAGAAGGCGACAACAGTCAGAGCTCGTACCAGATGGAGGGAGAGGAGTTTGATCCAAGCGAAGTCCCACCCAACATTCCTCCCGAGATTGCACCCGAGGTGAGTATGCTGATGTTCCGTATTCCTTCGTTGCTCCATTTAGAAGTTATTGAAAGAACGTGTCAGCAACATTTGAGATTCAAGAATCAACAAGCGCTCGCTGTGCTCGTATGAACTCCCTCTGATTTTCTGTCCTCGTTTTTGCCTCACGATGTCCTCTTTGTGGTTGGCGTCAGTTGCCCCTTTGGTTGCATTCATGACCATGTGACAGTGGTCTGGGAGGTTTTTTGGTGTT